GTGATGCCACGGCACTCTACCCAGGGTATTAGCTTGAGGCTCTGTCTCAAAAAAAAAAAAAAAAACAAGATCATTTGGGTAGGTCTGTAAACCAATAGATAAATATATAGATATAGATATGTAGTATGAAAACAGAAGCAATTATCTTACCAGTGCCTTAGTATATCCTCATCTAAATCAGAAACCTCTGGAGAATGAATCAGGACATTAACCCTTTGACTGCAGAATGCTCAGAAATGGGAATGTGCCAGTTGAGACATGCAGTGATGGCAACACTATTGCTGTCATAAGGTAAAAGTAAGGAAGAATCTAAAAAGTTAGCACACACTTAAAGGATTAAAACAACACACCTTTATTATCTTACAGTTCTGTGGGTCAGAAGTTGCACTGGCCTGGTCTCAGGGTGTTGGTGGGGCTTTATTCCTATCTGGTGGCAATAGGAGAGAATCGGTTTCCTTGCCTTTTCCAGCCTCTTGAAGCTGTGGGTATTCCTCTGCTCCTGTACGCCTTCCTCTGCCTGGAAAACCAGCAATGCCAGGCTCCTCATGTTTTGAATTTCTCTTGCCTCTTCTGTCATCTCCTTTCTAACCATACCTTTAAAGCACAAATGGGTCTATCTAGACAATCCAGAATAATCTTTCCATTTCACAGTTTATATCTTAATTACATTTTCAATTTCCTCTTCTAAAAATTAGATTGGAAAAGTCATTAATTAAAACAGAAAAGCATTAATTACCAATTTTTATTTTGGACCTTTGTAAGTAAGAATTAACTATATATATATATTCTTTCTTTTTTAGAGTATACTTAATTTTTTGGCTGAGGGGCATGTGAGTTTAGTGGAAAGTTAGTGCTCACTTTGGCAGCACATATAATTGTCAGAAAGTTAGAGATCTTGTTGAGAAAATGTGATGTTTTAAAAAGTGGAAATGAAAAGAAGACCACGGGATAAATCTAAGAATTTCCTATGGTTGAGAGTGTTTTTGTTTTTTTTAATTTTGTGTTTTCCTAAAAACTGTTCAGTAGATTGTGAATTGTTTTTATGGTTTTCATTATCTTAGAAAGCAAAAAAAGTAGCAGTAGAAAACATGAGGAAGAATCTAAAAAGAAGCGTTTTTCAACTGAGTCCAAGAACAAAGTTATACCTGAAGAAGTGACTTTAACTGTCACAAGAAGTCGAAGAATTTCCAGGTGTCCATCTAATTGGTGGGTGGTGAAGTCAGAGCAGCGTAAGTACTTTTATTAAATTATGTTTATTCTCCCAAAAAATCATTCTGTAAAGGGCTTTATGTATGTTTGATTTATAATTCGTTATCCAAAGAGAATCTCATGAGAACCAAGTTGAATTGGGTCATCAAAAGAAATATTAAATCAGTTATAAAGAAATTCCTTGATGCTTTAAAATATAAACAGTATTCTAAGAATAGGGGTATTGCTATGGAAAAACAAAGCCAAAACTTGAAAGTCTTTGCTCTTACAGAGCTCACATTACAATATAAATAAATGATTCATGTAGGGATAGATGATAAGGAAAAATAAAGCAGATCTGAGTGCTTTCTTCACTTAAGAAGGGTGCAGGGTACCTGTTGGGCAAAGATTTACCCATCCTTCCCACTTGAATTCACTGGTTTTTTTCCTCATGTGAGCATGTAGATGTTAATCTACTTGTTCTAATTAGTACTGAGTACATGTGGTACTTGTTTTTCCATTCTTGCAATACTTCGCTTAGGAGGATATTCTTCACTTCCATCCATGTTGTTATAAGAGATATAAAATCTCCATCATTTTGTGTTTGCATAGTATTTCACAATATACATATACCACAATTTACTAATCCATTCCTATGTTGAAGGGCTCTTGGGTTATTTCCACATCTTTGTGATTGTAAATTGTGCTGCTAAAACATTCAAGTGCAAATGTCTTTATAATAAAATGACTTTTTTTCTTTTGGGTAAATACCTAGTAGTGGGATTGCAAGATCAAATGGTAGGTCTACTTTCAGTTCTTTGAAGAGTCTCCATACTTCTTACCATAGAGGGTGTACTAGTTTGCAGTCCCTCCAACAATGTATAAGTGTTTTGCCCAGTTTTTAATAAAGGGGGTTGATGTTTTTTCTTGTTGATTTGCTTCAGTTCTTTGTGGATTCTGGTCATTAGTCCTTTGTCAAATGTTTAGCATACAAATATCTTCTCCCATTTTGTAGGTTGTCTCTGTGCCCTGTTGATTGTATCCTTAGCTGTACAGAAACTTTTAATAGTTTCAAACTTCCTTTATTATTAATACAGAGTACACAGACTAATTCTCAAGAGGATTTTTTTTTGGTTCCAAGATATATTCATACTAGCAAGATTTTATTTTAATGATTACTAGATAAACCCTTTTTATCTTTTACTTTCAATCAGTTTTATAGTGTCATTAGGTCATTTTCAGATTTTTAATGATCAGATCTATAATCTGTGCTATCAAATCTGTAGAATGTTTTTAACTCGATTGGGTCCCATTTATTTATTTTTGTTATTGATGTGATTGCCTTTGTGGTCTTTATACAGATTCCCTGTTCAATAAAAGGTACTGGGAGAACTAGTTAGCCATAGGTAAAAGACTGAAACAGGACCCACATCTTTTGCTACTCACAAAAATTAACTCAGGATGGGTAAAAGATTTAAATCTAAGACTGGAATCTAAAAATTATAGAATAAAATGTGGGTAAAACTCTTAGTGATTTGGCCCAGGATATTTTTTGAAGGTAACCCAGAAGAAGTACTCATATTATAGATAAGAGCAAGAGAAAGGCATGAATCCAGCCTCACAGGTTTTGTAATGCTGAGCTAGTAAAATGGAGTTGCTGTTTTACTGAGATAGGAGGAAAGGTATGAGGGAACCCAAATTTGAGAAGGATATCAAAATTTCAAGTTTTGATATGTTGATTTTGAGGTTCCTGTTAGATATCAAAGTGGATACATTGAGGAAATAGCAGGATAAAAGAGTTAAGGAAAGATGTAGTACCACTGAAGGAGTGGTTTTTATTGAAAAGATGATACCGTTAATGCATTGGTAATCTCAAGGAGTTCAAAGAGTAGTAGGGGTCAGATAGTGGGGTAATTGAAACAAATTCTGAAAGTAGTGCGATAATAGATACTAAGTTTTGCAGTGGGTGCTATTAAAGGAAAGGCAAACTACTAAGAACACATATCACTGTAGACTCTGCATAAATACCACAGATTTTTTTAAACTTCTTTGTAGAAATCAGTGGATATGATCAGAGGACTGTTAATCCTGCTGTTTGAAGGTAATGGCTGTGAAGGTTCCAAAGGTTCCTATCATGAGATTCTTGCCACCAAGGAGTTTACAATCTAACAGATTATAAGTTAGTTTATTACACATAAAAAAGAAAATAATTTGTATTAAAGGTCCTGAAAACTACTTCTGGGTTTATTGATTTGCTAGGAGAATTTCACATATAGTTGTACTCAGAGCTATGATTCAGTACAGTACTCTCCATCTTCTCCAGACTTAGCCTGTGTACTTTTTTGCTACTGAATTTGCTTTTATCCAAGTCTGGAGAAGATGGAGAGTACTCTCACAGTGGGTTCATCAGGAGGTACTTAATTCCTCAGCAGTAAGGTTGTCACAAACATGTAAAGATTATCTCCCAAGGAAGGTTATTAAAGACTTAGTGTCCAAGATTTTATTGGGAGTGGTCACATAGGTACCCTCTGTCTGGGAAGTACTAAAATTTCAGGAAAGCAAATATCAGCAAAACCCATATTTTTGTATAAGCAGTTATATGAGTTCTAAACCATGCTTGTCAGGAAATGATGGCAAACGTTCTGAAATTCAGGTTCCCAGGGCTGACTTTGCACGAAGGTCTTAGTAAGGATAGTATTTTCATGCTTGCTATGCTCTTCTGCACATCATGAAACATTGTGTTGGAAAAATGGTCATTTTTGGGGGGGGTGGGTGGGTGCATGATCCTGAAAAACTGGTAGATTATAATATAGCAGTTACATATGTAAATACTGTTGACTGGAAGGTATTTAGACCAATAAATGAAAGACTAGATAGAACAAATATGGTACATCTTTGAGGCCTTGTTATGAATTATTGAATCATTAAGATCCTTATAGCATCAAGTCCTATTTATTCTGCTGTACCCCTTTTTAGATTTTGGAGATGGATCTGAATTCAAATTATGATTTTCCCACTTTGGGTGTACTGCTTTGTTAAGTTTCTCACTTTAACGTGATTACCATTCCTTCTACCTCATTGAGTTTGTAAGGATTAAATGTGATGGCGTAGTAGGTGGCACATAGTTAGTGCTGAAATGTTAAGTGCTACTGCTACTGCTCTGGGAAATTACTTAGGAACCTGCCCCAGGTTGCCCGAAACACTTTAGTACTATGGTAGATGACTTTATGGGTTAATAAAAAACTTACAGTGCTTGGTTACATGCTAGAACTCTGAAACTTAACAAAAAAGACTTGTGTAACAGTCCTGAGGTAGATGTTGGGAGTCACACAAGTGGAGGAATGCTTATAGATCAAGTAGTCCAAATTCCTTTATTTGATAGAAGAAGAAGCTGAAGTCTATAATGCAGAAAAACTACACAACTTGCCCCCAGCCTGCTGGTGGTACATATGTGTCACAGTTGTCCTTCTGTATACATATTATATAAAAAAAAAGTTTATTGAATGCTCAGTGTGAAGCAGGAATGGTGTAAGGTAAGACTGGGACTAGGGTAAGGCAAGCAAGGCACTTGAATGGAAATGTAAAGGTATTTGGTGTCAGGGTTGTATGAGTTCATGCTCTGTACCTACATGACTCTAAAAGTAAGCACCTTAACTTTCCACCCAAGGGTACACTCTGGCTTGCTTCACCACAGTCCTAACTCTTCTTAGGCATTGGGATTAGTAAAATACCAATCAATTTTTTGATCTCAAGGAATTGTCTGTCATTTGGAGATGAGAGACAGAAATCAGCCAGATGTGTGATGAACATTATTAAAGGCTTGAGAGAGCAGTATGCGAAGACTTGAGAATAAGGGAAAGCTTCCTGAAGGGTGAATTAGGGATTAAGTATTTGGTTGCAGTGAAGGAGCAGGATGGACTGTTTCAAGCAGTAGTAGCAGGTGCAGGGATCCAGCACTGAGAGCTTCTTTTCTGTACTTTTTTCTTCACTGTACCTCAGAATTATCTGTGGGGCTTGTTAAAACACAGGCTAATACGCCTGACTATGGGAGTTTCTGATTCAGTAGGTCTGAGGTGAGGTCAGAGAATTTATGTTGCAAAGAAATTTTCAGGTATTGCTGATCTTGTTGGTTTAGGGATTGCCTTTTAGGAACCAGTGCTGTAGAGAAATTGCATATATAGTTCAGTACTTCTGACCTTTTTTTGGTCTGTTTGTTTAGAGAGCGCTTTTGAGAGTCATGATTAATGCAATAAGCAAACTCTAGATGTAGAAATAAATTGATGTTGAAAGTATTTGAACTCAATCCTGAAGCTACAGATAATCACTAAAAGATCTTAAGCAAGGTTGTATTGGTCTAATTTTTGTTTTCCAAAGATGATTGTTGGAGCAGCAGAAAAAAGAATGAGTTGAAGAACAACAGGGCTAGAAAAGGGGAGATGAGTTAGGAGGCTGTTTTTGCAATCCAGATAAGAAATGATGAGGGCCTCTGTTGATGAAAGCAGATGTGAGAGGCATTAAAAAAGTAGAACTGATAGGATTTAGGGCATGATTGTGGGTAGGAGTGGAGGTCTTGGATGACTCAGATTTCTGATTTCAGTATATCTAGATAGGTAATTGTATTTTTCATTACAATAAGGAATAAATCATAAGAGGCAGATTTAGGGGAGAAGGGTAAGTAGATATCATATATATCATCATATAGATAATAATTAACTCTGTGGGTAGGTAGGTCCCACAGAGAAAATATATAGAGTAAAAAGCTAAAGCTGGAACCTTGGGTAATATCAGGATCTTAAGGATGCCCAGAAGAGTATTGGGCAGAACTAGAGAGTGGTTTTAGAAGCTTGTGACAAATAAGGGTCTGGTACGAGATATGATATGTGTGTGTTTGAATGTAAATATTAATGATGTGGGGATTTCAATGATCCAGATCATCTGGACAAACAGACTAAATTTAGGTTATCCTTGAATCCTTTAGGTCCTGCCAATAGCAATTCTTCCATAAGAAATGAATTATCAGCACATCAAAACAATAGGCAGAAACCTACTAAGAATAAAAATCAGTCATCTAAGAATATTGGAGAAAAAAATATTCCACTTAAAAGGAAGAAGACAGCAACTCAAGGCAGCTTAAGAATGCAGACATTTTCAAATGCTGAAAGTTCTGAAGATACTGGCCTTGATAAAATTTCCAGTTGTTCTCAGATTGAGCCACTGGAGAATAAAAAAGCAAACCTAGCTAAGAAGAAAGATCTTCATAATCATTTTGGGTAATGTCTGAAATGTGTACAAAATAGTTTTTTTTGTTGTTGTTTAGTATTTAATAGTTTATTATTTAATCATTTACAGACAGGCAGTATTAGCATAAAGGGCTCTGCAGTTCTCACAACCTGGTTGGTATTAAATCCAGCCCCTTACCATTGGCTGGATAACAGTCATGCTAAGTA